AAGTTGCTTAGAACTTGACCTGGCACATGTTAACTCCTCAAATGTCAGCTCTTCCTATTGTTTTTGGCTCCTGTGATAGAATTTAAAGATGGGCAGGCTCTTGCTCTCTCCAGAATTTTCTCACATTGCTAATAGAAGAGGGTATTGTTCTCTTTCTAAACACATTGAAATTCTTGGAAGCTGAAAAGAAGGGAAGAGGCAAAAATCACAACACGATTGATATAGAATGGAAATTAAAAGAAGGTTTGCAGTTCAGGAAATGTGAGGCTTAAGTTAACCAGTTTGACTTTGTGTAGTTGAGCTAGCTTCTGCCTTAGCATTTAAGGTTGTCAGGTGGGTAGACCGGTCCGAAGGCTGGCAGAGGTGGGGTAACCTTGGTGAAACAGCCTGAATCAGACAGAGGCAGCACCATGACGTGCAGGTCTCACTAGTCTCGGGTGAGTCAGATATAGATTCACTGCTTTCGAAGTATCAGAGTTTGTGTTTGTGTTAATCGAGGGAAAAGGAGAGGGCAAGAAAGTAGAACAGTCTTTTCAAGTAGGATGAGGACAGAAATTCCCCGTTCGCACGGAGGCTCAGACCAGTGGATGTAGGAACATGACAGTTCAGTCTTCTCCGTAAGGTCATCTACAAATTTTGTGACTCCAGTGCATTTTTGCTTTGGTCTAGTTTCTTAATAGACGCTACCTGACGGAAGTAGATCATTCAGGCAAACAAGATGCAGAGCAATCTTGGGGAGCAGCTGATGCTAGAAAACCGAATCTCCCCAGATGTTGGGATATGCTTACGGAACCAGACGGTCAGGAGAAGAAACAGGAATCCTTCAAGTCCTGGGAATCTTCTGTTAAGCACCAGGAAGTATCAAAGCCTGTGGTTTCCTTAGAACAGAGGAAACAAGAGATTCCCAAACTCAGGTCCACTGTGCACGAGGAGCCAAAGCAGCAGGACATCGCCAAAGCCAAGCCAACTCCCAGCCAGTGGAAGCAAGACGCTCCTAAATCCAAAGTGGGTTTCATTCAAGACGAGCAGAAGCAGCAGGAGACACCAAAGCCTTGGCCGGTTCCGCTGCAGAAAGAACAGGATCCAAAGAAGCAAACTGCAAAGTCTTGGACACCTTCTGGGCAGAGCGCACAGGACATCCCCAAGTCATGGACCCCTCCCGTGTGTGAAGAGCAGGATTCAGGGCAGCCAGAGACTCCAAAATCCTGGGAAAACAATGCTGAGAGTCAAAAACACCCTTTAACATCACAATCGCAGATTTCTCCAAAGTCCTGGGGGGTAGCAACGGCAAGCCTCATACCAAATGACCAGCTCCTGCCTAGGAAGTTTAATACAGAACCCAAAGATGTGAGTTGATTTGTATCCATCTGTTTCTGTCGATGTAGTCATAAGTAAAGAGTTGTAGTAATAATAACTTTTTATTTCTCTAAGGAAAAAAAAAAAAAGAACAAAGCCCATGTTAAATTAATGTATATATTTCATTTAACTCTTCAATGCATTGTTTTCCCTAGAAAATTGGAAGTAAATCTAGTCTGCCTTTTGAGCCTAACCTGAGATGAAACCTCCACAGTTAAAAAATATTGTTTTAATGCCAAAATTTTAATGACATGATTGACATAATAGTGGATAGTTCAGACAAAACCAAAATGATTGACATAATAGTGGATAGTTCAGACAAAACCAAAATGTGAACAATTGAGAAGTGTAAGTGCATGTCACAGAGTGGGAACTTTGTTACACTATATATTTCCTTTGTCTTCCATCTGGCACACAGGTTACTTTTTCCTATGAAGTTACATTTTTTTCTGTGTTCTCTTTCACTCATTTGTAGCCTGTACTCTTTGAAGAAGGTACGTGGGGTGCAGATACTCTGGTAGTTGGGGAACGACTTGAATTAGTTCTCCATTTCTGTTTCAGATTAAGGATTTTCCAGAGATGGAAATAGTAGGCATTAAATGTTCTGTACTTTGATTTTAGATTACGAGATTTAGTTGAAATACAAGGCCTTGTTCTGTTAATGATAACCTATCTCAGGCAGAAAAGGGTGCTCATAATGGATAATCCTGGGACACAATGCTAGTTAGTGTTGCCTTTTATTAAATTGTAAGTTATTTACCACTATTTAAATGCAACCTCTTTACCACCTTGTTTGCTAAGAAATGTGAAGTTACCTCCCAGTGTTTTCCATCTCTAGTTCTGTTCCTTGCACTTCTGGGCCATTTTAAAGGCTTTCTGATAAAATTTTGGTCCCCTGATAGTGTGAGAAACATCTTGTCTAGGGAAATCAAAACATTGCACTTTATAAATAAATTACCCCTACCTGAGTTCTTACTCATGGGACGAGAATTTTAAATTCTCTCATCTGCTTTCTTCTCTTCTTCAGGTGCTATTATTAATTTTAGCTTCTTTCTGACCCTGCAGGAGATTGATAGCCTTATTTTATTAACCAGATATCATGTAAAGGTAATCGTAATAGACAACTATTTTGAGAAACTTACTTCAAAAACCGAGTTTTAAAATTCCATTAAATAGAATAATGCTGAGCCTTTACCATACTGGAATATTGGTACTGTGCCATTTGTTGAACAGATTTAAAATCAGAGGTACTTAGTTGGAAAGGTCAAAACTCATTTAATTTGCTTTTATATTCTATTGAAATTATGTTATATTGAAGTTGCAGGGCCTTTCAGTGACCGAGAGGGCACTTCTCTGTATAATACAATGCCTGCTTGTCTGTCTGCAATCTGAGCTGCCGAGGGTATGACTAAGTACAGTCAAGGGCAAAATAGAGTTCAAAGCCAAAAGACTAGATAACATGAAATTAATCACCAAAGCTTGTACTTTTTTCCTAAAAGAACCTTTCACATATTCACTTGGAGTCTATTAACTCTTATTGTATGTGATACTTTTGACAAGCTTAGCTGTGTGATTTCCCAGCGAATTAGAAGGTGAAGAGTTGCTGGTAGGGATAGACGCTCTGATGGCTGTAACAATTAGCTATAAACATGTGGTCTAGTTCAGGATATGCCAGTTTTAAGCAATGTGGCATGAGTGCCAACCACCTGATATCCCTGAATAGACCCCCAAAGTATGTTTACTTTATAATAAAATATAGCAGTGTGTTTCCTTAAGTCTAGGATGCATATATATATATATACACACACACACACACACACACACACACACACTTTAATATCTTAATGTTTCTGAAATCACATACACCTTAAAAATGGGATGTATATTCCATGTGCTAGTAGTACATTTTTCTCTGGAGGGAAAACAAATCATTGGCATGTCATATAGTCAGTGGCATCTTACCATAGAGGATATATGGTAACTGTGTGCATAATGAAAGAACTTTCTATCAAGGAAGTTCTGTTATTCTGGGTCCTTCCTTTAAAAAATGAGGATATTTTAGATTTCCATTAAAGTTGTTCTGACGGGGAAAACAGTTTGGTGGTGGTTAGGAATTATTTTTCCTGAGTTATTTAGGGAATGGATTTATGCGGATTCTCTACCTGAGGTAAATCTGAGCATTGCTCTGTGTTTTGATTTCCTTAGCACGTACTGATAAGCTGTTCCCTGAATGATGCTACTGAACATGAATTTCACTCCTACACCTTATGGGTTTATCCTGTAGGTGCCTAAGCCTGTAGGTCCTTCCTCTGCCCTCCCAAAGGATCCAGTACTGAGGAAAGAGAAACTGCAGGATCTGATGACCCAGATTCAAGGAACTTGTAACTTTATGCAAGTATGAGTCATTCTTAGATGAATCTTTAAGTGATATTCATGGGGCTGCTAGCTTCTGATCTGAAGCCTTGTAATGAAGTTGTTGAGAGCATAGGTTCTGGTGTCCAGAATGAGTATGAATCCTGGTTCGGCCTCTTACGAGCTCTGAAAGTTCAGGCAAGTTACTTATTAACTCTCTGCCTCAGGTTTGGTTTTTGTTTGTTTAAATGAGGGTAATAGTTCTCACTCCTAAGTTTGTTGTGAGTCATTAGACACATGTAGGAAGCTTAAAGTGTTCAAATATTATTACTGCTATAGAGCAGTTCCCCCTCAGATAGTGAGAATATACACTATGCCTGGTGTTATGGCAGGTGCCACTGTGTATAGAAAATCATGACATTTATGGCCCTCAAGTTTGTTTTCCAGTTGTGTAGGATTATACGTGTTAAGTCAATAGTTGAATGCAAAATTGTGTCAGACAGACTCTTAGAGAATTTTGGAATAGTGTGATGATATTAGCTGAGGGATGACGTAGAATATACTTTTGTGTAGTAAAAAGATTTTGTGTAGTAAAGAGGAGTTAGGCCTGTGTTCAGATCCCAGTTCTACCAACTCTGTAATCTGTGACAAATTATTTAGCTCCAAACCTCTACTTATTTGTAAAATGAGGGGATCCTTATCCCTTCAGATTATTTGAAGATAAGTAAAAGAAGCAAAAGGGCAAGTGCGTAGCTTAAGTACTCAAAAGTTTGCAGACGTTTCTGGGAGAACCAAGATAGCAGACGGGAGAAAACAATAGCTGCTCCTCATGGAAGTGTTTAATAGCTTGAGCTAGTTAGTGGTTGAGATTTATTTAGACCCTCTCGTTAGTCAGGTGTAATAGAAATCAGAGTTCCTTCTATACTAGGATTAATGTTTAAATCCTCAGATCAGGAGCTCGCTTTTAGACCTTAAAATTACAGTTAACAAGTTTAACACTTGACGCAACATGAAGGTTTGACGGTTACCTTAGGTTTTATTTGTCAACTCTTCTCCTATAAAGTCCAAGTTATAAACAGTTTGAGGTTGCTGTTAGATTTCCTATAGCTAATATACCATGGGCAATGTCATGAATAACATAATGGCAATAGCTTTTAAATAATCGTTTGTTTCTATTTATTATTTAAAATCTTGCCTTTAGGAATCTATTCTGGATTTTGAGAAACCTTCAAGTGCAATTCCACCGTCACAGCCGCCTTCAGCTACTCCCGGCAGCCCAGTAGGTATGTGATCATTCTTTAGACTTGAATGATTTCTAACAATTGGGTTTTTTTTACAGATAATTTTATGCTGGATGTCTTAGGGGTTAAATTATGTCTATCAGTTAATTTACTCTAAGAGTGTCCATATGTTTTCAGAGTTATATATGGTCAAATTACCATTACGACATTAGTGTACTTATCTGACCTGTTTGCATTTTAGAGAAAGTCTCCAGACGGGTGACTCGTGCAATGGCTTCTTTTGCAATTTTTTATGCTTTTCTTAGAGTGAATTCTGACTTGATCCTATCTGTGAGTGAAATTGCCTCAGTAATATTTAGTACACTGATTAACACAGGAAGCCTAGAATTGAATCTGGTTTGATGCTTCAAACTTCAGGCTTTTTGCTCTGCGCTAGTTTGTCTCAGAGAAGGAGTGATGTCATCAAAGCCGTAGGGCAGCTGTAGTGAGCAGTGTCTGCCAACCGGAAGACGGGTGCTGTGATTCCTGCGTGAAGTAAGAAGAATAAAGGGTAGTTAACAGAAGTGATGGACATTAGCAGAAAGAAACCAAACAGAAACTATGTAATTCAATAGTACATTAATATATCTGATCAAAGAGAAAGAAAAATAACTGAAGAGACAGACAACCCAGCCAAGACTCACTTTGAAACTTAAGTGTTTTAATTACTATTCATGAGAGCTCAGATATTATCTCCCAGATTGTTACAATTTTTAGAAGTTAAAGTTCTTTTCTTCTGGAAACGTTGAGATTGTTGCTTTTGCCCATTTAACCTTAAAACATTATGTATCACAGATAGAACCAGCATCCTATTCTTCTACGATATTCTCTGAGTCTTTGTGGAGCTCTAATAGAAAGCGCATGATGCATTTGAGACCCAGTCCTTCCAGCAACCACTTTTAAAATAAAGTGCAGACTTTAGTTTTCACCCAGTTGCCGTGCATACACTTTTCTCCATCAGTAGTTTACTGTTGATTTCACTCTCTGCAGCGTCTGCAGAACAAAATCGATCCAGGCAAAGTGATTTTCTTCAAGAGCCATTACAGGTAATTTCTCCAAATTAATTTTTCATTTACTCTTGTTCACTATTCAGGGAAGAAATTGTTGCTTTAGCGAAAGTGATCACAGTTACTGATTCTAATACACCTAACTAAATTATTGAAAATGTTCTAAGGATACCTAGTTTTTTTAGTTAAAAGATTTTCCCTAATGACTGTGGGGAAGACTGTCCCAGCAGGCTAGCTGATGTGTGTAGAGAGCGATCAAGCCTGAAGAATTCACACGCCTTGTCTGGGAATCTCACTTGCTATCCAGCTGTCTGTGTTACTTAGTAACTTGTTAATTACAAGTTAACCATTGTTTGAAAAGCCACTGGTCTAGCTTAGTGGATTTCAGGGGCAGGTCTCTGGATGGCTGCATCAGGATCCCTTGGTCACCTTAATAAGAATATATATTTCCAGATACCACCTTAGACCCGTTGGATTTCCAGGGGTGTTCCTAGCTATCTGTAGTTTTAATAAGCTCCCTGGGTGGGTCTGCACATCTGTTTGTTTGTTGTTTTTTGAACCACTGGTCTCCAACATCGTGTTTGTTCACCAATAACAAACTACCTCCAGCTGGTCTACTTAAAGAGCAGTAATTTGGAGGCAAGAGCTGCCATAACCTCTAAATACTAACATGAAAAATTTGTCTTCTTTTTTGTGGTTAAGTGAACCTTGTAACTCAAATTCAAGTCCTTTCAAGTTTACCTGTCAGGTGACCTGAGTCATCTTAACCTAGCATCTGTGAATCTTCCTGTGGCCCTAGAGAGTTATGTTCCCACAACCACCGATCTCACTGATTTTTGGGCATTTGTCTTATTGTTTTAATGAGAGGCCCAGAAGAAAGGCCTAGTTTTAGAAATGCTTCAATCTCATAATAGTTGTAATATTTTGGTCAGATTTAAATTTTAACTATTTAGGTATGTGAGATGTTCTAAAGGATTTAAAAAATTTTCTCCATAAGGCTTTCTTTCAGAACGTGGTCCCTCTCTCCTTCCTGAGAAGGAGCAAATCACGATGACGCCTTCTAGAAGGTCACTGAAACATAACTGCTCTGGGTATTTGGTTACAACTAATTAGTTTCAGTTCACACATTTTATTACTTGGACTTCTGAGAACCACATTGAAGCATTCAGATCAAAGGAGTGGATTTACTGACACTTGAGACCTTGGCATGGCTAGATTTGTATGGGTCTCTCTCTGCTGATTTGTAGGGGTCTCTGCTGATTTGTAGGGGTCTCTCTCTGCTACATGTTGTGCCATAGAGTTCCTTCCTAGCTACTCTTAGTTTTTTGTTGGTTGTAGTTGGTACAGCCTGAGTTATTACTGTTCCTTCTCCCAATTTTTATACATATTTGAGCTTTAAATTTTATAATTTTGGTGTCCTTGTGATTTATGTACAACTTATCCTCTCTATACTTCTGCCTACCTCTTTAAGATACTGAGAACACTTAGAATAAGAGCACAGTCATTTTGAGCCCCGGAAAACTATGCTTGGAGTGTTCAGTGCACCCTGAGCTCATCTTCCAGGGAGGTGCTATGAGGGCCACATGGAAAGTCTGGCCGCAGGCTCCCAGGGCCAGGAATCCCGATGAGTGAGGGTGGGATTAGACGTGTAGCTTTGGTGTCTAGGTCTGGAAAGGCAATGTAGCTGACTGCTTGGGTTTGAATCTCAGCTGTACCATTTAATTTCAGGGTGATATGGGTAAGTTACTTAACTTTTCTTTGTCTCTGCCTGATTGTCAATCAAAAAAATGGGGATAGTAGTACCTACCGCTGAAGCTGTACAGTGTTTAGCCTGGTGTTTGGCCCTGCGGGAGTGCTCAGTAAGAGTGACTTATTAGGAAGCCCAGCCCCCAAGAAATACAAAGTGAACAAGGTGTGCTTTTTACAATGTTTTATGTCTTCCCACATCTAGGCTGCTGCTTCTCCGGCTACTTGTAGCTCAAATGCTTGCTTGGTTACTACTGATCAGGCTTCTTCAGGATCTGAAACAGAGCTTATGACCTCAGAGACTCCTGAGGTAAGAAGAGACCTATCTTCTTACACCCGTTCTGCTATTTAAGACAGAAACGAGCTCATGAATTACGGGGCATGATCGTCAAATGATTTAACATTTGTCCTCCACTAACACACAGCTTTCTGTAGCTGTTGTGGTCCTGGAACGTACACAGGCGACTTTATTGTGACTTTGCCACCTAAGTAGACTCACTAGTGTATTGCCTTGTCAGAATAAACACGTCCAAGAATGTGTGTTCATTATAGAATATAAGAAAATACAGATAAGCATTCGTTTTTTATGGCACTGACATGGTTTAAATCGAAAGTACTCGGTTCTTCATTTCAGGAAGAGGAACTGCTTGTCACCAGGTGAATCGCAGCTTCATGATCTGGTGGGGACTGATTTCTGGTGTCATTTAAAGCCTTTGGACTTATGATCTGCTATATCAAGGACTTGCTTATACCCTTAGATAAGGATTATTTAAATTATTCAGATCTGGTTTTCTTTCTTAGGCAGCTGACTTAGAAATCCACTATAATAAGAGTTTAAAGTAGAGAAAAATCAACTAAGAACTTATCCAGGGTGTTTCTTAAGCCTAATTTTTCTGTATAAATTTGCAATAACATTAGATTCTTAACTGAGAAATACCATTTCAGGGTTTGAAAAGGACTAGGTACTCATGGGCAGTTCAGCCCCTCATCTGTTAGACTGGCCAATAATAAGACCTTCACTTAGTCAGCAAGCTGTGCAGAGCAAATGCTAGTGTGCATCCTCAGCAACTGAGATTTGAAATTGTAAGCAAAAGCTATTCTTTTGCATTCCTGTGTGCAAATGGCATTCTGTGGAACTTGCTGACTTATGCCAGTCTGGGGCTGAGCGTAAGTTAACTGCTTGTTATGTGGCAGGTAATTGGCTGATGCTGCCTTTCTTGTCCCCAGGCAGCAGTCCCCCCCAGCAAGCAGCCGTCTTCACTACCTTCTCCAAATCCTCCCATGTCAAAGGGCTCTGAGCAGGGTTTCCAGTCACCTCCGGCAAGTAGTAGCTCAGTAGCCATTAGCGCAGCACCCTTTCAAGCCATGCAGACGGTGAGTATGCATCGTGACCGCCGATGGCGGCCATCATTCCTGTTGAAAACGTTGTGTCTCATATTTATTGCCGGGTGCTATGTGAGAAAGCTTGCCTTTTCTGCTACTCCCGTTGGGGCTGGTGGAATTTGTGTTTGTCCAATGGAAATACCGTTTGAGGCAGAAGAGCATTAGATCCAAAGCCTTGAGAGTCTTGAATACGTACTTTATTAGAGCGCTCTCCCCTCCGAAAGCAAGCAGCAGGGAAAGCTGGGGACCTGCATTAAACAAATTGAACTGTGTGGGTGAGAAACAGAGTTTTCTATGAACAGCTTAATGATACTAACCATTACTAATATCACACTAGCGTTGTCCCATAGCATTCATAACCTGAAATACAGGACACGTACTTGGGGGTTCTGTCATTGTTGAAACTTTCATATGATTTCATCTAACGCTCATGCTGGTTTTAGAGAATTGCTCAGATTTTTGTGGTATTTTGAACTACATATTCCTCTACAAATTGTAGTAAAACTTTTTTTAAGGTCATATTACAACTAGGTGTGTATGTTTATTCCGTGAACACAGAATAGTATAAAGCAGTTCTTTACAGTCTTAGCCAGCGAGTACCTTTCTTGATGGTGCTGCATGTCCCACTCCAGGGCCTTCTGAGTGATGCCAGGGAGAGGCTGGTGGGTTCAGACACCTGAACTACTATCTTACCACTTTCCGTTTGGCTACTTGGAACAGCTTAGTTTCTTTTCTTTTTTTTTTTTTTGCTAATTGAAGTATTATTGATACACAATCTTATATTAGTTTTAAGTATACAACACAGTAGTTCAACAGTTACCCATATTCTTAAATCCTCACCCTCACCAGTGCAGTCACTATCTGTCAGCACAGGAAGATGTTAGAGAATAATTCGCTATATTCTGCATGCTGCACTGCCATCCCTGTGACCAGCTTATATTTTGACTGAGAATTTTTGTGCCCTTTTATCCCCCTTCCCACACACTCACCCACCCCAGCCCTTCCCCCATGGTAACCACCAGTCACTTAACGGTGTCTGTGAGACTACTGCTCTTTGGAACAGCTTAGTTTCCTCGCCTTCCCTCTTTCTGTCCGTCTGTCCTGCACAGTATTGCCACATTGGTTTCACTATTTCTTTTTCCTTTCTAATTGAAAGCAAACAGTGATTTTTCATTACAGCAATTGTAATGAAAGCCATTATAGAATGAAATCGGAAGTCCTTTACTTGACCCTCAGTGACTTTTGAAGTCTGGCATAACCTGCGGGCTGGTCCCTTGTGCTGCCTTGTGCACTCGTCAGAGACACCCTTTCTGTTCATGCCAGTCTGTCTCTCTGCTTGTTTGAATCCTA